TATTATGTTTTCACAAATTTTATTGTTTTTTGTTTTTTATTTTGCTGATTTCTGCTCATATCCTTATTGTTTCCTTTCTTCTACTTACTTTGGATTTAATTTGCTCTTCTTTTTTTAATTTCTTAAATCGGAAGCTTAGGTCACTGATTTTAAACATTTCTACGTTTCAAATATGTTTTCAACACTACAAACTTCTTTTAAGTACTTTTTTTTTTAAGTTTTAGCTGCATCCCACAATTTTTGATGTGTCCTGTTTGCATTTTCCTTCAGTTCAAAATATTTTTTAGTTCCCTGTGATTTCTGCTTTAATCCATGGTTATTTAGAAGTGTGTGTTTAGTTTCACATTATTTGAGGATTTTTCCAGACATCATTCCTCTATTGATTTCTAATTTAATTCTGATGTGGTCAGAGAACATACTTTGTATGATTTGAAACCTTTTAATTTATTAAGACTTGCTTTATGACAAATGGTTTACCTTGGTAAAATTTCCATGTACACTTGAAATGAACGTGCATTGGGTGAAGTGTTCTATGAATGCTAATTAAAGTCAAGTTGCTTGATAGTGCTGATCAAGTCTTCTGTATCCTTACAGATTTTCTGTCTACTTGTTACTACGAGAGGCATGTGTTGAAATCTTTAACTACAGTCGTGGATTTGTCTGTTTCTCATTTCAGTTCTAGCAGTGTTGGAGCATAACGGTTTGTTTTTTTTAAGTTTCTCAGACGATTCTAATATGCAGTCTGATGAAGGAACATTGCTCTAAACCAGTGGTTTTCAGCCTTCAGTGTGCATCAGAATCACTTGGAAAACTTGTTAAAGCACAGAATGCTGGGCCCTACTCCCTTGAGTTTCTGATTCAGTAGGTCTAGGGTGGGGCCCTAGAATTTGCATTTCTAACAATTCCCAGGCGATGTTGATTCTGAGAGGGTTCAGGGAACACACTTTAAGAATCACTGACTAAGCCAATGTTTCTCAACCCTGGCTGCATGTTAGAATCGCTTAGGGACCTTTGAAAACCCTGATGCTCAGGCCACATCCAGAGCAATTGAATTTAGAATCTTCATGGGGAGAGCGGAAGTAGCAGGCCCCAGGCATCGGTATTCTTTAAAGCTTCCCTGTGTGATTTTAGGAGTCCTGGATGGCACAAATGGTTAAGTGTTCATCTACTAGCCAAAAGACTGGCGGTTTGAATCCACCCACAGGCACCTCGGAAGACAGGCCTGGTTGTCTGCTGCCAAAAGGTCACAGCCTTGAAAACCCCATGGAGCAGTTCTACTCTGTACACATGAGGTCGCCATGAGTCAGAATAGACTCGATGGCAACTAACAACAATGCTATGTGATTTTAATAAGCAGCCAGGATTGGGAATCATTGCTCTATGCTAAGGTAATTATACTGATTGCCTAAGAAAGTCTTTTGGCTCATTACGAACACTTTGTCGGTGTTTCCTGGGTAAAAAACACTGGGCAGTCTGGCAAACAACAGGTGGTAAGAATGATCGAGTGCACAGCGAAAGGGATTGGGTTTCAGTCCTGCTCTCTGCTGTCAACCTGGCGATTTCCTCTTTTGTAAAATGAAGCCAATATTTCCTGCCCACTTCTTAGAATATAGAATGGTTCTGACAATAAATCATATTCTGTCTTTTATCACTGGGGAAAAAAAGAACTTGTATTAACTAAATGGAGCCCTGGTGGCACAGTGTTCAAGAGACAGGCTGCTAATGAAAAGAGTGGCAGTTCAAATTTACCAGCCTCTGCTTGGAAACCCTGTGGGGCAGTTCTACTCTGTCCTATGGGGTCGCTATGAGTTGGAATTGACTCGACATAACGAGTTTGGTTTTTTTTTAGTATTAACTAAATGTATTTCTAAATTAAAACTATCTGTCATGTAATGATATTTATTTTCTATAATTGGCTTTTTATGCATAGTTTATTAGAAGAGAAATTATTGACTAAAAAATATCTAGGTACCCTGTATCCTACTTGGTACATGCAGGGAAATTCATGTGTAACAGAGGTATATTCCAAATAATCTTTGACAGCCTTTCCGGTAGTAAAGTCACTAAACAAGAATCTTTTAATCTTCTGTTAACCCTCCCATTTTTCTTCACTGCATCCTGCACAGGGACGTTGACCGAAGATAAAGCATTCTGGCAGAAGAATTATGACTAGCAGTTCTGACACTTTGGACTACAACAATAACACTGCCTTCTATTTTATCACTCTTCTTCTCTCCTGCTCCTTCTTTTTACGATTTTCAGAGAAATTTTACATTTCAAATCAAACGGTTACAAGGGGTGGGAGGGAGGGATAAAGGGGTAGTTTTTTTTTGGAGGGGCAATGTTTATGTTAATAGTGGTGAAATATTTTGGAAAAAGAGAGTGATAATGGTGGCACCACATGAAAAATGTAATCAATGTCACTGAATTGTAAAAGTGGAAGGTGTTGTATTGGCGAATGGTTTGGTGTATATTTTTTCTCCACAATAAAAAAAAAAGTTTTACAAATCACATAATTTTTACAACAATCCTGCAAAGTAGGCAGGCCAGGTATTACTACTGGCCATATTTCTCGGCTGAGAAAACTAAAACAGACAAAAAGAGATGGAGATTACATAAGGAATTAGCCTATAACACAGGTTCTTTGGCTGAAAGTCCAAAGCTTTCTCTGAGAAGGAAAAATGGGCACAAACGCAGGTAGGAATTCCAGAGATCTTTAGATAGTCCCAGGAGCCTTCTTGGAGATCCACTAGGCAAATGGGCAATAAAGGTGGAAGAGGGTATTTAGAGATGAAGTTGTCAAGCCCACCACAGCCATTTTATACAAGGAGAACCTGGCTTGCTCTAGACAACTACAAAGTGTGAAAAGAGCCCAGGACTGACAGAACAGCTGAGTTCCAGCATCATTATGCCACTAAGCTTCAGACCAATCCACATAGTTATCAGTCCTACAGACCTTTGCACTTGGATGTCCCACAAGCATTTCAAACTCAAGTCCAAAGTTATCTCCCCTCTCCCACCCATCCCTTCTCCTCCTCCTGTGGTGGTGTCCATTTCAATACTTGGCCCAGTGCAGGATCCTGGGAATCATCCCTTTCCTTCATCTCCCACGACCTCTCAGTTAACAAATTCTGCTACAAAAGTACTTCAGATCCATCACCTCCTGCCCATTTCTTCTGCCACTGTCTCAATTCAGGCCCTCACTATCTTGGGCTTAGCTTAGGTTGCTGCATCTGTCTAACAAGTCTTCCGGCCTCCACTCTGTTTCCACTCATCTGCCACCTTGTCAGCCACCACAGATAACTTTCTAAAACACAGATTATATGTCAGTGCTCTACTTACTTGTCTGCTCTCCACCACTGCCAGGATGAAGCCTAAAGTCACAAGCAGTCTCTCCCACTCTGTTTGTGATTTGGTTTCTGCCCACTTCTCTCACCTCCTCTTTCACTACTCATAACTTCAGCCAAGCCCAAGTATTACAGATCCTCTAGTGTCACCTTTGACTTTGACACTAATTGTTCACTCTTCCTGGAAATCTCCCCCTTCCCCTGCGTTTGCCTGGCTAAAATTAACTCACCTTCCCAGACTCAGCTCAGGCTGGAATTTTTCCTGGCACTCATTTTACACCATCCCTTGATATTCCCAAAGCATCTTGTGCAAACAAGAGCCTCTAATCACCCTGAACTGTGTTTACTTTTGAATCTGTGTCCCTCACGAAACTGTGCATGGTGGTAGGGCAGGGGACGGCATCTTATTCAGTGTCTGGTATTAAATATTCATTCACCCCACAAATATTTAAGGACCCACTATATGCCAAATATTGTCCTAAGCTTAAGGGATATAGCCGTGGACAAAACCAGGATACTTCTTGCTATGAAGTGGGAGATGACATAAGAAATAAATAAATGAACAGGAAAATAAGCAAGGAAATAGAAGACAGCAATAAGCGCTATGCAGAAAATGAAAACAAATCATGTGCTATGAAAGCGACTGGATGGCTACTTCAGGTTGGGTATGTTAGGAAATTCTCTCTGGGGAAGTGACATTTAAACTGATAACCAAATGCCAACAAACCGGTTGTTCTAAGTTCCAGAAAGAAGAGCATTCCAGCAGAGAGGACTACCAGTGCAGAGCCCGGAAGGACCAAAGAACACCCAGGTGGCTTAAAATGCGGGAAAGTAAAGATAGGGTCAGAGAAGAACACACACACCCTCATTGCCGTGGAGTCCATTGCGATTTACAGTGACCCTATAGGACAGAGTAGAACTGCAACATAGGGTTTCCAAAGCTGTAATCTTTATGGGGGCAGACTGCCGCATCTTTCTCCCACATAATCCCTGGTGGGTTCCAACGGCCCACCTTTCCGTTAGCAGCCGAGCACTTAACCACTACGCCACCAGGGATCTTTAGAGAAGGAAGGGGCCAAATTATGTAGGTTCCATAGGCCACAGCAGAGGTTTGATTTTGTTCTAAATGTAACGGTAAGTGACATGATCTGATTTATACTTTAAAAGATCATTCTAGGACTGATGTGTCGGGAAGGGAAACACAAACCAGTTTGGGGGGGAGAAACGCTGGTGGCCTGGAGAAGGTGGTTTTGGAGAAAGTGGACCGATTTGGGATACACGTGCGACTGGACAAGACATGCTGATTGATGCACAGGTGAACTAAGAATGACTTGTGGACTTTTGTCTCCAGCACTTGGGTAGTTACTGGAAAACCGAGCAGGTGCTCGCGACTTCGGGTGCGGTGGAGGGGTGGAAAAGTCCCTTCGCCTCCCTGGGCTCAGGCGAGAGCTAAGGTCAGGCAGCGGGATAGCAACACGCCCAGACCCGCACTCGGTGACCTCCCAACTCCGCAAAGCGACGAGGCGTAGCAGCCGGCGCCGGGGCGGTGCGGGCGGGGCGCCGGGGCGGGGGGAGTGGGGAGAGACGACTCCCCGTGGTCAGCGCGGGAGTTTCCACGTCTTCCGGGCGGGGCCGGAAGAGGAAGTCGGCGGTGCCTTGGTGGCCCCGGCAGAGCCCAGCTGCTCGTTCCTGTCCTGCCGGGCCGCGGACAGCGCCGCGGCGGAACGCGGAGGCTCCCCGCCCCTCGCCGAGCTGCGCCGCGGGGCGCCCACCGGTCCCATGGGGTCGCAGCCGCCGCTACTCCCCGCCGTGGCCGCCCTGCTCTGGGGCTTCCTGCTACCACCGGTAAGAGAGGCAGGCGGGCGCTCGGCCCTCCCGGGGGCGGGGCCAGGGCTCCCTCCCTGTTTCGCCCGGGGCCTTCGCAGACTCTTTAGCATCCCCTGAGCCCCCGCTGAGCTGCCCCATCTTGTTTTTCCCTTTCATTCCCCTCCCTTCTTTCCGCCCATCCTCCACGTTTTCACTCTCTTTCCCCCACCTGCCTACTCCCCACCCCATAGTCCCGTCCCTCGGCGTCCCCTGAAGAAAGATATCTGCAGAGCACCTCAGGCTACATTCACCTTAGTGCTTCTCTTACAGCTTTCACTGCTTCGGGCATTTTTTATTGGCCTCTGAGTTTCATCGTCAGTCTTACCGCTTTTTAACCTCTTGCCCCTGGGAAAGAAAGTTATACGTGGCTCCAGGGTGTTTAGCGGTTCCAGGACTGCGCTTTAGTGTAATTGCTCCAATAGAAAAAGTTCTTTTTTTTCCTTTTCTGTAGTTCCTGCATCGCCTTAGAGTTTTTAAGTCATCTGATTCAACTCTGGGGTTTTGAGGTAATAGTAATATTTTTTAAAAGAACACACTGAAGTGTAATGCCTTTAGCGGCGTTCAGTTTTCTGCCTAGTTTGAAGGGCAGAGGGTTGTTTGCTTGCCTAATTACAGAAAAGTAATGATTTTTTAAAAAGTAAGCCTCAGGTATTGGAGCTTCAGAAGGGTGGTCAGGACGCCAGTGTTCAGTGTTTCGGTTTTTGTTTTAGTGACTTTCACATAGGAAGTTTCATAGTGGAAACCTTTATGAACGTTGTTTACGCAAGATTGGCATGGTGTATCCTGTTGGTATGGTGTATTCCATTAGAATGTGGAACCTCTCAGAAAGACATGTGTTGCTTACTTTGCAGTTTAAAGGCTTGCCATTAGTGAATACATTCGATGTGAAACTGTCTAACTTTTATTAAGAAACCAGCATCTAGGTCAAAAGGGTTAAATGCCTTTGGTGTATTAATAACTTTGCTAGGCAATGTTAGGAACATAAAAGAGAATGCATCTGAAAATTGCTTTGAGGGGGAAAAGTAGAGTATAAAGAGAATAACGAAGTAGCAGTGTTAGTCTGAGTCTTTGAGGTGTTTACTGTGTAATCAGAAAGTTAATACTTAAATGTCCAAAAGATAGCAATTAGGATAGTATGTAAATGCACATAAAATGTAACCTAGATATAAAACTTATTAAAGTGTTTTTTGCACTCATTTTCATTTTAACCCTTAAATTAATTGTAAGAATATGTATCACATCTCCACTAATCCTTTCTCAACACAAATTAATAAATGTGTTGTTAAATGATGTATTATCCATCAGTTCCTCATAAATTCACATTGAAATTCTTATTAAAAGGTCTGAACCCTCTCCCCAGAAAAACCTAGTCAGAATTTTCATACAACTTCAAGGGTTTTATAAATTTAAAAGTCATCTCTGCTGTAAGCCTATCTCTCCCAGATTATGAATTGTATGCTTTTTATATTGCTGCTAGGTATTTTGTTGTGTTAATCTTGAGTTCTGAACTGCTTAGTCCTAGAGTTATTGTAGGGATCAAAAAGTAACATTCTTGCACGTGACAAATATTTAGTTTATTATATTCAAGGCACTGTGCTGATCGCTGTGACTAAACTGACAAGATCTCTTTAAATTGTAAAGATAGTTTTTTAATGCCAACTAGTATTATTCTGTTTCTATTTCTTGTCCATTTATTTTCTTCTTGATCTTTCCTTTAATTTCCTGAGATGGTCTCTTTCTCATCCCTTTCCTTTTCTGAGGAACTCAGTGCTATTTCCTTTTCCTCAGCAGGTGCTCTCTCTTTCTGCTTGCTTACCAGACACTTAGTTCCTTTCTTCCAACACTGTTTTAGTCTTAGCATTTTCTTCCTAAGTCCTTGTTTATTCCTCTTCTCTAATCTTACAGCTCTAGGTGGCCTCCTTTTATTTATTTATTGGGGTAGAAATATATATAACAAACATTTGCCCATTCCACAGTTTTTTCATGTATAACTCAGTGGCATTGATTATGCCCATCATGTTGTGCAGCCATCACCACTGTCTGTTTCCCATTTATTCCACCACCATGAAGAGAAACTCACTGCCTCCTAAGCAGTGATTCCCCCTTCCCTTCTTCCTCCCAGCCCTTGGTTTGTTGTTGTTGTTAGTTGCTTTTGAGTTGATTCCCACTCATGATGACCCCATGTGTTGCAGAGTAGAACAGTTCCATAGGGTGTTCAAGGCTGTGACCTTTTGGAAGCAGATCACCAGGCCTGTCTTCTGAGATGCCTCTGAGTGGGTTTGAAGCAACAACCTTTTGACTAGTAGTCAGACACTTAGCCGTTTGTACAGCCCAGGGACTCCCACTCCTTGGTAACCAGTAATAAGCTTTGGTCTCTATACATTTGCCTATTTCATATAAGTAAGATCATACAGTATTTGTCTTTTTGTGACTTGTTTCACTCTACATAATGTTTTCAAGGTTCATCCATGTTGTGGCATGTATCAAGGCTTTGTTTCTCTTAATGGCTGAATAATATGTCATTGTATGTTGCATATTTTATTTATATATTCATCTGTTGATGAACATTTAGGTTTCCACCCTTTGGCTATAGTGAATACTGCTGCAATGAACATTGGTGTACAGGTTTCTATTTGCGTTCTTGCTTTCAGTTCTTTTGGGTATACACCCAGGATTGGGATTGCTGGATCATATGGTAATTCTGTATTCAACTTTTTGAGGAACTGCTACACTGTTTTCCACAGTAGCTGTACCATTTTGCATTCCCACCAGCAATGGATGAGGATTTCAGTTTTGCCACATCCTCACCAATACCTGCTATTTTCCATTTTTTGTTTCTTTTTTTTATCATAGCCATTTTAGTGGGAGTGAGGTGGTATCTCATTGTAGTTTTGGTTTGCATTTCCCTAATGGCTACTGACATTGAGCATCTTTTCATGTGCCTGTTGGCCATCTGTACATCCTCTTTGGTGAAATGTCCATTCAAGTCCTTTTCCCATTTTTTGATTGGGTTGTTTGTCATTTTGTTGTTAAGTTATAGTAGTTCTTAATATATTCTGGATCATAAACTCTTATTAGATATATGGTTCCCTAAAATTTTCTCCTAGTTTGTAGTTGTCTTTTCACTTTGTTGATAAAGTCTTTTGATGAACAAAAGTGTTTAATTTTTATGAGATCCCATTTATCTATTTTGTCTTTTGCTGCTGGTGCTTTTGGTGTCATATCTAAGAATACATTGTTAAAAACTAGGTCCCGTAGCCATACCCCTATATGGTTTTAGTTCCCACATTTAGGTCCTTGATCCACTTTGAATTGGTTTTTGTATACTGTATGGTGTAAAGTCTGGATCCTACTTCGTTCTTCTGCATGTGGAAATCCAGATGTCCCAGTACCATTTGTTAATAAGACTCTTCTTTTCCCTTTGGATGGATTTAGTACCCTTGTTGAAAATCAGTTGACTCATTTAAATTGATGATGCCAGCTCGATCATTTCATGTCTCGTTTCTTTTGGGCTCTTGAAGCTGTCACTTTTGGGCCTCTTTCCCTTTAATCACCTAAGAACAGGGCTAACATCCTCATCTAGAAGCAGCACATAATATCCAGAAATCACTACCACCTCCTTGTAGAGGAGGCGAAGCTTAGCATTGGAGAGGCACTTAAAGATTATTGTCATCTTCACATCAGAGTGACCTCATTGTGTATTTTGGATTCACAGTACAGCGTATCTGGCTGTTTTAATGATTTCTGAACCGATTAAACATCTAGAAATAAAAAGAGTACTTCGCACGTAGTTAACTCTGTCTTGGCCTTTCCATAATTCCATTTTGCAATTGTTCTTCTCCAATACAACTACCCTCACACCTCACTTGTTAGATCTTTATTTCACAATGTTATCTTGACCCAGTCTCAGGGTTCTGTTTCAAAGAGAATGAGTGAAGTTTAGCCGAATTAGTTTTCTAAAATTGCTTCAGAGTTCTCTGAAGAATCCTGAGTCTTTCTCATGACTTTTTTTTTTTTTAAACGAAAGTCCTGTTTATTTTTTCTTTACTTCAAAGAATTTGAGATATTATATAGTCACCTTTTGAGCTTATTACAATGAAGTGATAATCAGGATCCCTGGCAGAAAATTCTCTTGTTGAAAATCTGTGTTCTTACACCAACTCAAAGAATCATCTTTAATTCCTTCTCTTCTGCCCATCTCTCTTAATCTCCTGGGGAAGTGAGGTATACTTTGCTATCCAGGTTATCAGAGACATGCTGTGCTACTGATTTTGCCAAATTCCTCCAACTTTTAGGTTCTTCACAATTTTGCCTACATATCATGTTGACCATTTTTTGCCTTGCTTCTGTGTTGCAGGTCACTGATGACTATGTTACCTCCTTTTCCAAATGCAACACCTACAAGTAAATCTCCTTTGAAACTCAAAATAACCCTGAGATGGTTCAGGAAGATGATAATTTGTCCAGATTATATAGAAAGTCATGAAAAAGGGGTCTAGAACCCAGGACTTCTAGACATTTCTTGATATTTTTCCACTACATTGTGCAGTAATGATCTTTTTCTGAATCAAAAATAGAACACAAGGCTGATAGGATATATATGTGAATTTATCTATTCACAAAAAAGGTGTAAACATAGAAGTTATGTTTATTATATGTTTGGCAAATTTTTTGTTAAAAATCACCTGAAATTGTATCTTTACAAAAATCTAGACCAAAAGTCTCCAGGTATAGACCCTCACTCCCAGCTTCCTAAAAGTCTTTTTTTTCTTTTCTTTTTTTTAAATTTGGTTGCCCTTAGGCCAGAATTTGCCAAACTTGGTCTTAAATCTACTTTGATTCACACGTTTATATTACCTGCCTGTCCTTGTAGGCATTTGAGTTTTTGAAGTCTAATCTATAAATTATATGAAAGCTGAGCTATATCATTATGTAGTAAGATTACTTAGGGAAACCAAGGTAAAGGATGGATCTAGGTA